TATAATTCTATAAATAACAAGTATTTATATATTTAGCTAATTTACATGAATTTATAATAATATGAATTAATTGCTGATGTCTTTCTCTCTGTTAAATATTAATCACCATTTTACACTGGAAAACCGATCTAGAAATAGGTAATTATTTTTTTAAATTGGGTGTATTTACCCTTAATTTGAGTAGGTAAATGAGATAGCTTGCCAATGGGAGGAGTATTTTTACTGTTGAAATAAGATAATTAGATAATATGCACTTTAAATAAGACAATGCAATTGTGTTTTCCTATTTTAAGTGTAGATTGTCTTGTTCCATTTGCAAGATGTCTTTTTTACCTTCTCAATCCAAGAACAAATGCACTTATTTCAAGAAAAAATTACTTGATTTCATTTTTTTCTAGCGTAATCAGCGCCCATGGGCACTTTGATTTTTACTTTAATCACAATTAAAGGTAGACATAAGGCTTACAGCACCACAGCTAATATTTTCTGTGTTGTTAGCTTTATTACCAATACTGGAGATGATAAAATCTTGCCTGCCCCACAACGACCAATTTGTTGGTCTATTTGTTGTTTCTACCTAAAGCAAATAATCCCAGTTGCTCAAAAAGAACAATGGGTTGCAAAAATACATATTTACACTGAAACACAATGTCTTTGCATATACTTTGTCTAAGGTTTAAATATGACGTTCCAATGAAAAAAATTTTGTTGTTTTTTATTTCCACTGCTAAAAACAGCCTTAAGAAGTAAAACTACTATGATGTTTTAAATTATATATGGCTTTTTTTTTTTTATCCGAACAGATGAGCATAGTATGTACAGACTGTATACTGAGTGCTAATTTAAATACAATTATTATGCTCTTTAATTAACAGCTGCACTGTATTTTTTTATTGTAAATGTGTAAATTAGGTTTTACTTTATAGTGTCCAATTTTAGTTTTGTTTTTAATGTGTTTTAACCTTATTTGCATACTTCCATTAACATTTTATTTTGCTGCAGGTACAAAACAATACCTCTGCTAATATGCATTACCTAAAACATATATATATTAAATAATTAAAACAGATTCCTTAATTACTTAGATGTAGCTAAACTAGCTTAAGAATAATATTTGAGTATTTGTATAGAATGTATATTTTTTATTTATCATTAATGGTTGAAATTTTACTTGAAATATTTCATATACATCACTTTGCTGTCAGGTTTAGCTGTTGTTGTACATTGCTGGAACTACGTTTGCAGCCTTTAGAGTAGCAGATGAACCTCCTAAAAAGCCAATTCAGATTTCCTGTTCAACTAATTGGCAGCATTTCTTTTTTTTAAACAGAATTCCATTCATAAATAGGCGAACTGCATTATACCAACATTATCTTCATTGACATTTAATAGAATAATAAAAAAAAACGTTTTGTAGTAGTTTAAAGTCTAAAGTATGCATAGGTGTTTCGGTAATGCTTTTACAGCATATCAATAACCATGTAAAAACATAGTAATAAAATAGAAAGTGTATATTACTAGGTAACAAGAAAAAAAAAAAAATTGGTTATTACCCTAAAATTAAGGTATGTAATTTCAAAGTAATTACCTGCATGAAATTATTACAACTGCATGTTACTATGTAACAATGGAGTCTTTTGGTGAGTAATTACCATTAGGTTACCACATACGTTTCTATTATTGGCCATCACCTATGGCTTACAAAGTAAATTGTGACTTATGATGATCAGGTAAATAAAGTATTAAAAAATTGAGCTCAAGTGACATATAAATAACAGTTTAGTTAAGTAGATTGGCTTGCTGTCTTCTTGGTTTGGTTTTCTGTTATATGAGAAGTAATAAACTAGATTTTACTAGATAATAACACATAAGTGTATTGCTGTCAGTGAAATGACTGAGATGCCTGGTAATAACTCTTTGAAATCTAAGAAGTCTAACTTTACCTTGTCTGCCTAAAATTTGAAGCACAGCACTTACAAAAAAATTCCATAAAGTTTTTCTTGTGCCTAGTAATATAGTGTAACATGCTATGTTATTACCATGTTATGACATTGTTATTAATTTCCTTTTATGGACTTTAAAGATGACCTTTATTAAAAAACTTCAAAACGTATGATTCTTATTCTCAAATTCGGACTCGTCCAGTGAACTGCGGTGAATCAAAAATAGTCTCTGGAATTTTATAAACATCTATTGTATATTTCCCGGATTAGCGGACCGCGGTCCGGATCTGGACCCACCTGCTGACTAATCCGGACCCAACCTGATTTAAAACATTTATTAATTACCACATGTTGTCCGACGATAGTGTTTAATTTCACTTGCACCGCTTCACCTGTTTATATGGTAAAGCCTTCCAGAGCGCCTGGAACCAGGCTACATGTGATACAAATTAGCCAATGAGCTGCTGTCAGTCGGGGTTGCTGCTGCTGCCACTTTTAGACACAGCATAACATGGATGCTTAAAAGCCTCATTTTATTTCAGTGTTAAATTCTGTTTAAAGTAACAGATTATAATTACAGATGTCTCCAGACCTTTACTGGTTGATGATTTTCTTTATTCAGACCCCGCAGATTTTTATTTGGTTACCCCGATCTAAGGATTCTCAATTATTAGCCCCCTAAGAAATATTAGCTGAAAAGTAACAAAAAAATGATATTATCCATCGACACATGTTCTGCACATGGATCATTCTGTTCTTCGTTCATTTCAACAAGCTCATAATTCCAGCAGCCAATGCGAATGAGGTCAGGGTCACTTTGGAGAAACAGTTGCTCTGTCTTGGAGCTACAACATGCAAAAAAGGCAAAAAATTGAAACCCACTTTCACATGGGAGGCAAGCAAAGACTGTAAAATTTTAGTGAAACAAAAAAAAAAATAATAATAATCCTTCGGAAAATCCAAGTCAACTCACAAAAACAAGTGTTCCCAAAAGGCATAGGAACCTGAGTGGCTTAATTTAAGGTTTACTCTTTGCTAATATACAGAGATACGTCAAATGGTGCTAAAATGAAAAGAAGAGAAAGAGATTCTAACAGGTAAAACTTTATATACAAACCCATGCTGGCCATGATCCAATGTCCCAATGATGTACACATATTCTAATGCAAGCTCTCATTATAATTGAAAATAAACAATGTTTTATTTTGCTGTAAATCTACTGCAGTCATTAAATGTCACAATATATGATACTTTCTAACAAAAAAATACTTTTTTAAACCTTCTCCCAGGGCTACGAACCCAAAATGTCATCACTGTGATCTTGCAGCCCAGTTTTTGTAGTTCTATTTTCATGGGCGGTTTCAAAGAAATTTTAAGATGGTTTGGTACAAAAGTTCTGTTAAAGTACGAAGTGTCACGTCCTAAAATAACTTTGTTCTTTTTACCTGATGCCCTGGAAGGGAGAAAAAAAACATTTCTGTTCTTGTGGAATATGTATGGATCTTTAACTGCCTTTCAAAAATAACAGTCAGTCATCAGCATATTGATGCATCATTACAAAGCACCAAGTCAAACATAATTTAAAAGTTCATTGATATTAAACATCCAAAATAAGAACATTTAACTAAAACTTCATTTTGTCACTCATTTGAATTTTGGCAGATATTGTGTCCACGCTGTCATCGTTGTAACCCTTCTTTTTGCAGCATTTTCTCTGTATGAGCTTATAAAGGGCAAAGATGGGAATAGCTAAACTGGGAATTCCAGCCAGGATAAAGATGACGGCAGAGATCCATGACGGGTATGGGCGCTCAGCAAGGGTAGGAAAGTTCTCCTGTGGGGTGAGCAATAAGATTGATCAAATCAGTGTTTGCCTATAAGCACAAATAATGGTAAGAAAATGTGAATCGTTGTTGTTTATTATCCTTCAAGCATTTAAGCCTCAGAACTTACCGCTTCCTCATCCCAGACCAAATAGGTGAATTTCTTGGTGACTTGGGTAACAAAGTAAAAAATCAGAATGAAAATCATGATGACGGGGCTAATCACTCTCCACGTTGCTTGCCAGAAGATGTTGGGTTTATGGCCAATCATGAACTCCATGTCCTTGTTAAACCTGTTTCAAAGCAATAACACAGAAATGCAATAAGATGAGAGGATAGGAAATCATAAAAAATTATCTTATTGTTTGATGCAATAAAATGTCTTTGAAAAACGTGGGTTTAAATATTTGTTCAACAGATAAATTTGATGCAATCAGTCTTTCGTTCAATATTAGTATATGAATAAAACATGAGATATTACATTGTAAAATGTTATTATTATTTGTTACAGCTAAATTTAGATTTTCTCCCCTCATAGCCTGGTGTAGGAGACAAAACAAAACTCTAATCATATTTTCCACATTCCCAAAATACCCACAAGACACGTTCTGTTCTTTTTCTTATCTGTACTCTGCTGACTCTCACACATTATCACCACTTTGAGAGAAGAATGACGCTATGCTACTTCCTGCTTTGTTTGAACTGTAAAACCCTTTGACTGAATGATAGACACCAGTTTGGTCTGGAACCTGTCTCTGCCCTTTTATAATAGCTCGTTTAACTTTGGCCATGTAAATGATACACTGTGGGCATTCACAGGACCCCCCCGCAAAAAAATGAAAAGGGAAATTTACAGCCAACAAGCCTCATGGTCAACAGATAAGTAGATCAGGCACTTTAAATTTTGGCAAAAAAAAAACTGTTTAGCAAATCGCAAACACTCTTTTGATGATTCTGCAATCAGAGTATAATAATCCAGTCCATATTCCTATTTCTCCCTATATTGCTGTTTCCTCCATGCTCCAAGTTTCAGTACCCCAGAAAAAAAATGGTTTAATTTTTACAAACAGAATAAGAAATGTTGTCAATTATAAATGCAGTCCAGATTGAATGAAAATGGAGCGTTCAAAACATCATCAATTTTTCTAAGGACCAATAACAATCCCAGAAAAAAAGGTTTTAAAGTCCTAACAAGCTGTTTTCATTATTTTGTAAGTAGGTTCGAATACACCTAATATCATCTTTTTTCTGCTTATTCTGGCATTACAAGTGGTCCACTGTTTCCCTTCTCATTTTAAAATAAGAGCGCATATAATATATATCAATCGGGGGTTCATTAAGATAAGTGTTGCACCGATACCGATACCAGTATCGGACGGGGCCCCGATACTGCCCTAAAATGGTGGTGTGGGTATCGGCGAGTACCAACAAATAGGGCACAGATACCATTTTGAGAGCAATAAGTTTATTCAACTATTGTCACCCACTCCTGGTAGGCAATAAAAAGTTCTACTGGATTCACTTTGTATTAGATTTTTTCCTGCTTCACAAAAGTAGGCAGCAGCTTCACAAAGCCATGATGGCAATTATTTTACATTATTATGGTATTGGTATCGGCCGATACTGCACAGCCAGGTATCGGGTATCGGTATCGGGGCCAAAAATGGCATCGGCGCAACACTAATTAAGATACCAGCTTCTACACAGGGCTTTGTTGTTCTCTGAAAGACTTAAAAATACCATGACATCTTGATATCCAAAATTGCAATGTGGTTAGTTGGTCAAATTAGAACTCAACCCATCCGCTGTGAGTGTGTTTGTGCGTACTGCACCACCTTAAGAACATTCAATTTTCACCTCATCTCTGGCTTAAGTCTAACAAAAATATATTAAACCCACAACGGCTTTCTTGTCAAAGAAGATACCAGGTTATATAAACCTCATGTACTCCTTTCCCACTGGCAGAAAAACCAGTAAAACCCAGGAACAAGCGGCTTTTTTGTGGCAGTGGGAACAGCTCACCAACACATCTCTACCTGGGTCAAAAGACCCGCGTTAAAATCGCCTCGGCTCTAATCTGCATGCTGTGGTAACACCAGACACGAATTAATCCACTAAATTGCATGACACTACTGAACGCAACGTACGGGTGTCAACATACCGGGCTACTCACGCTTCTGATATAACAAGCTGAAACAACTCTGTTTACATTCGATAAACATGGTGCAGCACTGGTAAGAGGGATTCGGACAGATTAAAGAGCGAAACAATAAAGCACACTTATTATGCCCTGGCTTCCTTACATGTTGATCTTCATTGTTTACTTTCCTGATTTCTGTCGCACTGGTGACATCATGAAAGCTAACCCAACGTGCTGGTGTATCAGACATGCAGCAGATGGACAGAGAGCCATGTAGGTGTTAGACACGACTTTTTTTGCCAGTGGGAAGGGAGCCAAATGTGACCCTGCCTATGAAAACCCAGCTAAAGTCATTTTTTGGTGAATCTCAACTTAATGTATAAAACCATTCTTAACATTGTGTAGAATGGTTTTATACATTAAGTTGAGATTCACCAAAAAATGACTTTAGCTGGGTTTTCATAGGCAGGGTCACAAATGCCGATTGTTAGCGGGTTGACCCATGTTTGAAAAACCCAGTTCAACGGGGTATTTTCAGTGGGAAAGAGGCTTAACAGACTTACAATGAATGAATCACAAATTGGAGAAGCATAATCTAACACTATAAAAATGCTGTCAGTGATCTTTAGAAATAAAGATAAGTTTAGGGCTTGCCCAGACATGTTTGTCATTTCTCTAGTTGTTGTACTGTAGCCTTTTTAATCCCTTGCCATGGCTGGAGAAGCGGGTACGTTTAGCTGAGTGGCAATTTTTGTTGCTATGTCCTGACTTTTTATGTTCAATACACGTTCCTCACTTTATAGAAATGTTCTCTTGTCTCTCTCATTGTAAACATTCGCTCAGAGAAATTGGCCTCAATGTTTTACTTCATTCAAATCTAATATATGCTAAACAATAGTTCCTTATAGTAACACATTAACTAGATATGCCATTAATGCTACCATTATTTTTTCTGTTCTGCTTCTTTTTCCCTGCTTACCAAACCCATTTGGTAATTCCCTTACTGTCCTTTTAGAAGAATAAAGGCTTTTTAAGACTGCTGCCTGAAATGGATCAAAATAAATAAGCCTAGACTAAATAAATGTTACATTGAACCACTTTGAAAATAAATTAACACCAAGTTCTTACAGCTGAATTTATCAGTTGAACTCAAACTTTGATTTAAACCGATTCCTTCTCATTTGTATTAAGTAAAAAATGTGACTTTCTGAACCATAAATATACATTGACATACATTTAAACTCTAATTATTTTAAATAGTAAATAAATTATGCTTTTGACATGAGCCGATATTTCACTTTGGTTCAAATTATTGACAGGATTTACAGGATTTGTAGCCTATCATATCCCAAAAGCTCAACAGTTTTTTGCTATAAATGTAGCAATGATGACCTTAACCCATTATTAATGTAAAATAAGCTTAAGAACCAGAAGCACCTCAGTTATTTTCTCCATTTGATATCTGAGATGTCCACAATGGGAAAACCACATTGCTCTCTCATTATAGACACTGCTATGCTGAAACCCTGAAATCATAGATGTAATGGAAACCTCGCTCATGGAGTTGCAGCACTGGACACACCGATTTCCATATAGTCAGCTAATAAGGCTTTGACTTGATGTATTCAGGGGGGGTTTTGGAAAGGGATGTTTAACTCTAGGTAACTCTAGGTAAAGTGAAGTTAATGGTTTCTCACTAGAAATACAAACTATCAGTTGAAATGGCATAACATTTTATAAAATGGTTATGAATTATTCAGCTTTATTATGACTACAACTACTTTACTAGTTTAAGCACCCATATTAAGGTTAAAGGTTCTGGCTATGTGAGAAAAAAACTATTATGTGACTCACCTATCCATGCCATAGATGTAGACAACTGCAATCATTTCAAAAAATCCAATAACCAGAAGGGGAATGGAGCCTGCAAAGTTGTCAAACAGAGCCAACCAGTAGTTCCCAGATTGAAGGGCAAATATAAGTCCAAAAGCCAAAGATACCAGGCATGTGAGACCTAAAAACAAAATGCAATTTGTTACCATATTGTCATTGGATACATAGAGAAAATTTAATTTATAATGTTTAGAAAAAAATAAAAATAAAAGAAAATTACCACTGATGACTTCTTTGGGCCAAGTTCTGGGTAGCAGTTTAAGGTCCAACAGAGGAGCTATAACACCCTCAATGCTTCCAAACATTGTTGAGAGGCCGAGACAGAAGAGCATGACGAAGAAAAGAACGGCCCAAAGAGGAGAAACTGGCATCTTTATGATAGCTTCTGTGAACACGATGAAGGCCAGTCCTGTTCCTTCCACACCCTAAGTAATGCAGGCCCCAATTAATCAGCTATGAATACCACGCTGTCATGTTTTTGAATAAAATGAAGAATTACCAACGTTTTCTGACCTGACTGAGGAATTTCTGCATATCGCAGGTCTGTAAGTTCAATCCTTGGATGATATCAGGGTTTGTGTTATTTAGATGAGTCAGAACTGTGTCATAGTTATTTTCTGTGATGTTGTTCTCAGGGTAGTTAAAGGCATTCATGAGCTTCAAGATATTCCTGTAAACATGTTTTAGTATCAATTGAGTTCTATACAAATGAGGGAAGATTAGCTTTGAAATATTAAACTTACTGTCCCGTGCAGTCGTCAAATTTCTGTGTGGCCCTGAAGCCAATGATGGAGTAGATGACCGTTGCTGAGTACACGGAGGTGCAGCCGTTGATGATGGAGATGAGAACAGCGTCCATTTCACAGTTGTTGCTAAAAAGCAAATTGTGAGGTAAGTTCTGTACATTGGTGCTGGAGAACAGACTGCTTCCTTGTTTTTATGCACCCAAAAACTTACTTACTGCACAGAGTTGTAACTGGAGAAAGAGATGAGACCACCAAAAGCCAGGGAAAAGGAGTAGAATACCTGGGCTCCTGCATCCAGCCATGTTGCAGGGTTCATTAACTCATCTACCTGGGAAAAAAAACAACTGATTATTATTAAAAACAACTATCATTTCCAACCTAATGTTCAAAGATTCAAAAGTACTATTGCTCCCGCTAATTAGTTTTAGTACATGCAATAAGTGGGTGTGTCGCAGGTAATCTACAAAGATTGCTTGGAAACGTTTAAGACGTGCAAACCGTTTTGTTTCCTCCCATTAAAATGAGCAGCTTGCCTGTTCTACAGACAGCTGATAGTGATTGTAAAAGAAAGTTAAGGTTCTAAGTCATGTAGTTGGGGTAAAAATTAAAGAAAATATTTAGAAAACAGTTATTATTGTGGTAAATATTTTAGAACGCCGTACACCGATATCATATATATATATATATATATATCATAAAAATCCCTGTTGAGCACTTTCACCCTTCTCCTCCTTTGCAGTCTTTTCTAATATTCTATTGCTTTTATAAACAGGTTAAAAATGTTTAATTGCATACAGACTGTCTGCTCTCCTGTTAAATGTTTTTGTGAGACACTTTGCACATGGTAACTGTTTAAATAGGTATATCCTGCATCCATTAAGTTGAGCAGTTTGGTCATTAAAATAAGTCCTGTATAGTGATGAAGGCAAACAGGCAAAAAAAAGTTTTACGCTTGCTTTGGCAAATCACTTTGCACTTTCTTTGAAGATCTGTTCTGGTAGTACAAACACGTTTGCACCGGTTTAAAGACACGTATGGAAAAATGTTGGTTGTCCCATTCAGTTCCTGCTGAAAGAAATAATGCAAACGTTTTTGGCACCTAATTAATCCTATTTAGTTACACTAACATAATAATTTTATGTCCTACCTCGTTAAAATAAAAAAAAAACTGTTCAAGTAACTAAATATAAAAAAGTAAATGCCAAAAATGGTTGCAGGAGTTTAAGTATGTTGTTGTCCTGTTCTACAGTGAGGGGAGAATGGAGTGGGAGATTGATAGAAGGATCAATGCATCTACTACTATAATGTAGACCTACACCAGCCTGTCATCCTGAAGCATAAAGGCAAAGTTCTTGATTTATCAGTAGGTCTACGTTCCTACCCTCAACTATGGTCATGAAATCTGGATCATGACGGAAAGAACAGTGTTCCCCGATATAAGCGGCTGAAATGCATCTAAAGCAAGCCGATAAAAGTTCTCCTCAGGGTGACTGGGCTTTCCGTTACAGAAAGTCTTTCTGGAGAGGTTTGGAGAAGAGCCGCGTCACATCGAGTGCAGTCAGCTGAGGTGACGCGGACATCTTTTTCTGATTCCCCCTGGACTCCTCTCGTAGGAGGTGTTCCAGGCTTGTCCACCGGGAGGAGGCCCAGGGGATGACCCACGATACGAGAGAGGGACTATGTCTCTCAGCTGGCCTCAGGCATCCCCCAACAGAGCTGGAGGAGGTGTCTGGGGATACCAAAGTCTGGGAGTCTCTGCTGTGACCGCTGAGAGCGCAACCCGGTCCCCGTTAAAGTGGAAGAGGACTATGATTAAAGAAACGTAAACCTTCCCAAGATCAGAATCTTAGAATGTAAAATGCAGACTCTACCTTTGTTATTGGAGCATCATTGTTCACAGATAAGTTTGGAAAAAATAACTACCACTGTATGCATTTGCTAAGTAGCATTAGCAGCATTTCTTCCTAATTGACTTCATTTTGCTGATTTGTAGACCCATCTCAAACGCATAAGCTGCCATTTTTTCCTCTCATATTTACAGTTTTTTTGACATATGTACTCACCTTTGAGGTGAATTTTCTTTTTAGTAATTGTGAACTAAATAGTGATACATTTCATTTGTATTTTAACTGTATTGCATTTCATTTTATAAAACATTGAACTCTATTTTATGATTTTATTTCACTATGATGCCAAATCGTTTGGGGGGCATTACACTCTAATGAAATGAGTATCAAGCCAACCTACTAAAGGTAGATTTTATTCTGTTGGAATCAACATTCTGCATATTATGAATACCTATGAAAAAGGTACTTAAAATTTCCAATTGTCAAAGCAGGAATGTACCCAAATGGATTCAATTCGATACACAGTTAGTAAGAAATCTCCCTTGGTAGAGCAATCAAGACTGCAGAGATATGAAAGGATTATGGCGGAAATCACCAGGTAATTACCAATATATTGGTTTATCTTACAACAAGTACAGATGGGTAACTCTTTAAAAACAATGTGCACTTTATCAGCTTTGATCAGTTTTGGAATGAAGGTTGTTAAAACCTTTTATGTTTACCTTTATCTTAGGTTTTCATATTATACCAGTTATCTTATCTTTCCAACTACCCTAGGACCTTTTACCGTACATTCAGATTATCCTATGGTAAAGGCAAAAATAGACTCTATGAAAATGGAGTCTATTTCCAGGAATAAGATAAGATCAACAGCCTTTTTATGGTCATTTTGCAAATATAAGGTTGCAGCTGGCAACCTGTATCTGTTTAAACTCATACATATGCATTAAAGTAACTCATAAAATATGCTGGGAATTTCTTCTTTTCAGGCATGTAGATTAAGTGAATGCTGTTTTCAGCTTGAACTTGGTGGCTGAAATGTTCATATTTATTTCTTGTCAAACACAAGCTCCATCTTCAAGTATAAAATCCAATATGGCCATCTAAAGGTATTTATAGTACACACGTAAGCAGCTAAGTCAGTTATCTTTTTACCCATATCTCTCAAATATGTTATCAGGTTGCATTGCCAATTTTGGTTTAGCTACTCATGAATAACAATAGTCAACTCATTAGTGATGTCATTTTCTTTCTAATTAGGAGTCTAAAGCAAAGCATTATTGCAATATTTAACGGAGACCTTCCTTATAATGTTACTTTTTATTCTCTACTTCTCCATAGGGCTATTTTTTAAATCAAGCAGCCATGTACATTCATTTATTAGGTATTGACATGCATGAAAACAAAACAGGCTTGCTAGAAATTAGGAGAAAAAACCCTCTAAAAATACAGGTGGTAGAGTGTCAGCCATTTTTCTCTTTCCTATTTAAATCTTCCTGGCACATAATATTTTATATATATATATTTAAAAAAAAATTAGTTTGAGTTTTTCCCAACTTGAGGACATTAGCCTTCACCCACTTTACTAAACTACTATTGGCTACTTTTCTGTTCAGGGATCATAATACTTCAAAAATCTTTAATCAGTGGGACAAAAAATAAAAAAACAACTTTCCATGACTAAACTTTCATTTATTAACATTTCATTCAGTTGTTATGTGTTTTTTTCCTTCCATTTATCCAAATAGACTAAAAAAAATAAGGAATTGATTAATTCAGTTGTGGATTAAAAGCCCAAAGGAAATATGTCATATTTTAAATCTTAAAAAAATAACCTAGAATTAACGTAACTTAATTAAGATTATATTCCTGCGATCTAAGCTTACCTACTGTGTAAGTTTCTCTACATAATCAACTACTGTATATTTAGCTAAGTACTGTACATAGGAGGGATTTTTATGCTTGTGAAATAGTAGGAGTTTGGGACAAAATGGCAACATAAGGATTAGACATTGGGATACCAACAGTAAAGTAGCTGCCAGAATCAAAGCCCAAATTCTTCCCTGGTTTATTCCAATGTCCATGGAAAGAGAATTAAGTGTAACAAGCAGATCATCTCAAAGTTAAAAAATAGGGCACTGTTTCACCCTTCAATTTACCAGCATATTACAAGGACACGGGGCAAAAAAAACAAACTAAAATAACTCTAAGATTTTAGTAAAGAACTTTAGACCAGTAAAAAAGACCTTTGGCCAAAGAGAATGCAAGCATTGCTAAAAGGGAGATTCAGCAATGCAAAGAGGACAACTATTTCCTTGAGAGAAAGTCAGTCAGCAGATTTTCAAGGAACGGTCAACATCTTTTTCTATTAATAAGTTATGACATTGCTTACATTAGGCGTGAAGAGGTACTTAATTCCATCGGTAGAGCCTTTTAGGGTCAGTCCCCTGATCAGAAAGATGGTGAGGACGAGATATGGCAGAGTGGAGGTGATGTACACAGCCTTAAAAGAGAATGGTCAACATGTAGATTATGGTTGTTTGAACAATGATAATAGAATCACTCCAGCAAATTTGTCAGACTTAATATGGCCTTCAGACCTTGCCAGTAGTCTCAATGCCCCTGATGCAGCAAACATAGAGCAAAGTCCACGCAGCTATGAGAGCCAAAACTATCCACCACTGCAGACCTCCAGACTCATCAATAGCTGTTGAAGTGTTCAGAGTTTCTCTGTACCAGAAGTAGTCAGTAGTGGTGCTTCGTGAGCACTCCTCCACATATCCTTAAATGGGTCGATAAAATTCATGATCAGTCGGATGGAAAACAAGTGTAAACAAACTAGGAACGGAAATGTTTTACCCCGAGCCATAAAAGCAAATGGCTCCTCTACATCAAGCCCTACCTGTCTTGTTAGCATTGAGTGGACATTGGCTCCAGGGCAGAGGATCCTGAAAGGAGTTGAAGAGATACCACATGATCCAGGCCATTATGGTGTTGTAGTACACCCCGACCAAAAACGATACAAGCATGGAGGCAATACCTGAAACAGATTAAAGAGAAAGGAATCACAACAGTATATAGTGAGGGTTACACTAGCCACCATTTTAACCCATCATGGTAAAAGTGTGCAGAGCTCTGGAGCTGCAGGGAAAAAAGTATTCCTTATCAAGTAAATATTTTAGCATCTCTTTCATTTATGGCAAATTTAAAAACATAGTTCAAAGAATCTACTGAGGTAGAATTATTATTTTGCTGGATAAAATTAGGGCCAGCAATTATCCATCCATACGTCCATATTCGTCCGTCCATCGTTTCTTACTAACCAGGCGTTATTTCCTCAAACAGGAAAAGTTGTATACCCGCTTTGGTAACCACTGCTTTACTGATTACTATGAAAAAGAAAATTTGGAAGTTCAGATTTAACTTTTTTTTCTCTATAAGAGCGAGTGATCTTATTTAATTAGGGTAATGTAGACCCAATCATGTTAAAAATAACAATTAATGAAACTTTATTATAAGGCTCTAAAATCAATCCACCATTATATAAAATTATACTTGAGATTTTAGCATGTATACAATCATTCATCCACTTAATAATCAGAAACAATAAACTAGTAAGGAAAATAAGTTGATTTAAATTGCTTAAGAATATTGATAAAGTAATAAATGAAAAAATATAAAGTAGGGATTATAAAAGGTGCTTATTTTCAGGTGCTGTTAACTGAAAATAAGCACAGCATCAAGTGTTAACCGTTGCTTTATTAGTTTATTTATACCCACCAACTCCTGCCAGGTAAGGGTTGATGGATCTCCATACGCCCACGCTGCCCTTCCTCAGCCGCTGACCGATGGCAAACTCTAAGTGCAGCAGCGGGATTCCCTCCAAAACCAGAAGGATGAGGAACGGAATCATAAACGCTCCTGGAAGTAAAACATTCACATTTTGTATGTTTCTAATTAGCATTTCAAAATTTGTTGCATTTTAACAAGAGAAAGTAAATTATTAGCAGTCGGGCGCACAAACGGGAAACGCTAAAAAAAAAAACATAAGGTGTACAAGCATACGAAAAACATTGAAATTCATTTTAGAAATGAGGATTGACATTATTTTTCTAAAGGAAGAAATGCACTCAATGATTTATTTTAGTTAAGTTTAAATAGATTTATGATGCACATTCATTAAGAAAAAAAAGGGCTGAGTTTTCTGACTTTAATATGTAATTATTTTGTTCCACAAAAACATGATACACCTAATAAACTATGAATCTTATAATAAAGGTGTTAAAATAATTCAGAATTACTGTTTAATTGATATCCAATTCATAATACATAAAATTTCCCTATGAAGGGAAACTTTATTGTAGTTCTGCCAAAATATTGATCTTACGACTCATCTCTTACCTCCACCGTGACTTTGACAGAGGTATGGGAACCTCCAGACGTTCCCGAGTCCCACACAGAAGCCCACACAGGTGAGCAGATACTGGGCTTTGTTGTCCCACTGGGGTCTATCCCCAGCCTCTTCCTTCTCCATCCTCTCCAGGTCGGCGTGCGAAGGGATTCTATCATCCAGTCCCGGGTTTGGTAATTTGAACTTCATGGTGGCTCTTTTCGTAAACTTCACTGGAAACAAAATTCAAAAATGTAGCCTCTAAATCTCACTTTGATAACCACTTGTTTCTTTTGTAAACTCTCCAGCTGCAGTGTCCTTTTCTGAAACAACCTTCTCTTTGCACACAGTTACTGACTCTCTCCCTCCCAGTCCCCTGCTCCTTCTGACTGTCCTTGGAAGGGTTGCTGAGGTATTTACTGTTACATCTGGCACCTAAACTGCAGTTATCAGTAGCTCATTGCTTTCTGTGTTGCATTATGCAAAGTCAGCAGGGTTGTACAGAGAGAAAAAAAATACGCAACCTGATTGATAATGGTTAATGCATCACAGGAGCTGCTGTCAGCTACGTTTTCCCTCTGATGAGTTTGCTCTTTGAGAGTTCATTAAGGCTAATCATGAAAGGAATAAAGACGTCGCTAAGACATTTAAGAAATACATTTTGGTTTCTTTGAAACATTGTAAAAACAAATTCAAGAAATATTGTCTTGTGACTTAAACTCAGCGCTTATCCAGACTACTTTACGCTGCATTCATTTAGATTTATCCATAATGTAAAGTCAAATGCATTTCTATGTTTTTGGCGACTCTCTCCACTTAAATAGATAACAAAAACTTACCAATGTTGGCAATTGCGGTGAGGGTAATCTGCATTATTAGTCAATAAAATTCTAAGTTTGTTAACCAATAGATTCATGATTTTCTAAATATTACACTGTAACTGTTCATAAAAACATCTATTTTTCAGCATTTCATGTTTTTTTTTGTGTTTAAATGCTTGAGGTTAAAAAAAAACATAAATTTACTAGCTGTAAATTAGCCTTTTGCAAGAAGCACTTTGTGCATGACAGTAGTTAGGATAAAAAAAAGGATAATTGTTAGCACAAACTACTTAAACCAGCTGTTGAGCACAACTGTGGAGGACTGATGGTTTTTGAAATGCCTTCTTTATCCAAGAGTGGGAAAATTTGTGTGTAAATAAGTTGACAAAAGACATAATAGTTACATACTTGACTAAATGTTATTTAAAAAAAACAACTACTAAGTATTACCAATTTTAGGTGAAAAATTAGAAATTTCAGAAAGGATCATGAAAAATATTAGGCCATGTGTTGGGCAGGTTAGGTTTGACAAAAGTTTAGTCAAAAGAAAATCTTAAACCAGAACAAATCTACATTAGAAGGTTTGAAGGGGAGTCAAAGTCTTGCACTGGTCTAGTCAATGTGTCAATCCGATTGAAAAACTGATACTCTTCTTTAAAATAAGATTTGCAAAAAAAAAAAAGTCTGATTTCTAAATAACCGATCCAAAATGCTGTGATAAATTTGTATAATTTATATAGATTCAGCTTTTGCTGCTAAAACTGGTTCCATGTGCATTAAAAGCAAAGAGTGTAACTACATTTTTTCCCATGACTTTCTAACTATAGTCCATTTACCATTGAACTCTCAACAGATCTGTTGCCAAAAAAAAGGAAAAATCAGTTTTAAAAAAAGAAAAAAAGGATCTCACACTGGAGAAATAACACCTTTGCATTTAACCCATCCCCTTGGGCAGCAGTGAGCTTCCACTGTGCAGGGTTAAGGGTCTTGCTCAGGAACCCAGAGAACAGGTTGTGGGGATCGAACCCGAGTACTTGCAACCTTCTCAGAGCACAAGCGCACTGCTGTGACCACCAGGCCATCACCTCCCCTTAAAAATGACCATGTAAAATCTTCACATTTGCAAATATAAAGCACACCCGATGATGACAGAGGAGGACACTGAGTCGCAGCTCTGCTGTCTCTTGAGGGGTTCATGAAGGCAACAGGAAAGATTGTCCATCAAAGATCTTATGGTTCTACAAAATAAAGGGAGTTACCGTGTTAATTAAAAGGAAGTTAATGCTAACTATGACATAAACTTGATTGACAAACATTATACAGTATATTTGTAATTTATTTACATTTCCTTGTAAGTATGAATATAACCGTATTATCTAATATAAGGTAGATTTTCATTCAGTAAAGCTGCCAGTGAAGAAACGTGTGCAAAATGTCTTTATTATCAGGCAGGATGATGCAGGTGGAGCTGGTTTGAAGCTGAAAGTTCATACAGTTAACTGAGAGTGACCTTCGATAGGCCAGATCCACAAACCGATGTGGAAACAGTGAATGACGCACCGCTTTATGGTCCTTGTAAATGTTCCCTTTAAAGACAGTTTTAGACAGTGTCCCAGAAAATGGGGACAATAATCAACCTCTAATGGTTTCAGTAAACTTCTACAGGTGCTAAATGCAAATCATCTGTAATTCTGGTTTTGGCCTGATACCAGGGAATATACAATCGGTGGTACATTTTTTCCCTACGTCATGATGACAAAGACATAAGGGCAAATCTCAGTTTTGTTTATCATTTTGTAATCCATTAACTTCAAAAATCAAACAGGATCGAAACGGATATTATGCTGCATGATGCATGACCGAGTTTCTCTAAAAGGTCAACGTGAAATAATGAAAGCTTTTTAGTTTTTAATTTTGACTGTTTCTATCTGCAGAGATTTTATTTGAATTAAAAGTTATAAGCAGCATGGTGTTAATGAAACAGCTGCTAAATTAGAAATGTATGAAGTGACCATGAAATTGCTTTTGACCTCATTTTATTATCCATGTGCTAATATGGATAATATAATAGGTGGTTACTGATCAGACCACAAAAGTGACCAACCTTAATCAGAATTCCCACCCAAAGGAATAAACACATTTAACGCATTTTGCTTATAGATAACTTTTCAGAACACATTTATTACAGTCTCTGCTTTATTATTTAGTTTAGACTTAGACTTACCGGCAGACTTAGACAAACTATATTGTCGTTTTGTATGCACAGTGTAAATAAACAAAATTTCATTTCATACAGCTTACAACAAAATGCATATGTTGTATGCATTATGTTGCTCGTAATATTATTCTTGTAATGTTGCGAGCAGTGATCAAAATTTAACAATGTAGGTGAAAAAGAAACCAATTTAAAACAATGGTGCAAAAGGGCATTATTATGAAAAAGTACAGTACAGTGCCAAATACATGTGGTGCAAAATGCTCCATATGTGTTCTATTTAAAAGGATTATAAAAGTTCAGCAACATTGCTAATGCAAAATAATGTGATGCAGAGCCCAGTTTAGAGTTTAGCAATGCAACTGTCTGAGGTTAGTGGGGATAAAACTGTTGCAGCAAGGAGAACAGTTCATGGTGGGGGTGTGAGGCGTCACTGATATAACGAGCTCGGGACACAGAGATGAAATGTATTTATTAAATATATTTAATTGAGGGAAGAGGAGCCCCAATGATCCTCTCTGCTGTTCTCACTACTCTCCTAAAGTTCTGCCAGTCTGAGGCGCTGCAGCCTCCACACCACACAGTGAGACAGCTGATCAGAACGCTCTCTATGGTGCTTCTGTAGAAGGTCATGAAGATGGGTGGGGGCAGGTGGGCTCTGCTCATCCTATACAGGAAGTGCTTATGCATTGTTAGGTGCTGTTCATAGTTCAGATGAGGTCTGTGATGTCCCCTCCCAGGAATTTGGCACCGCTGACTACCTCTACAGCTGAGCTGTTGATGAGCAGTGGAGTGCGGTTAGGCCAGTTCTTCTTGAATCTGATTATATTCTCTTTCATCTTCACAAAACACAGTATCATCATTCAGGATCAGGCTGTTGTTTCTACATCAGCCCACCAGCTGCTACACCTCCTCTCTGTAGGGCGGGCTGTTGTCGTCTCTGTTGTCTGCAAACTTCATGATGTGCTGGGTGGTGAATCTGGAGACGCGGTCATGTGTCATCAGAGTGAGCCTGTGCTTAGGGTGATGACATCAGACTTATGATGACATAAGTTTATTAGTAGCACTAATCCATAAATACTTTCTATGTTATAAAAAGCAACACTAAACTTGCTCCTCAGGTGGCTTTGTCTAGGAGAATAACTGTTAACCAGACGAGCTCTGAGCCCGTTTTAATGCCAAAAAGGATGTAAGAGAGCAGATACAGTTAGTCACAGTAAAAGCTTACAGACATTAGTAATCGCTAGGATGACGTCATAGCCGAGCAGGAAAAGACCAGATAAAGCTGCTTTGAGGAGAAAAAGCAGAGAGGAGGTAAAGCTAGGGGTGAGGTAAAATATACTGCAGAAATGGAGAATATAGATAGAATTAAGAAAAGTGGTCCTATGTCCTCCAGCAGCCTGAGACCATAGCAGCATGTTTTTAACTCAGGATATCTGAGCCACTCAAAAAATAAGCTTTGTCAAAAGGAAAGTTTTAAGCCTATTGTGACACACTAATGTGTATTCACACACAGAGACTACACCTGAACACAAGACAAAGGTGAACCAAACCAAAGCCAAGAAACAAAGACTAAAAAATAACAGGAAGGAGACACCCAAAGCCACAGTAGGTAATAAAGAGCAGATAGTGAGATTAATAGGGAGGAAAGCAACGACTAAATGTCTCCTTAATGGTTTAACTGTTACTACTCTTGTAGATACTGGAGCTCAGGTTAGCTTGATAGACAGGGCTAGGAGAAATAAGTACATTCTCGATGTTAATGTCTGGCTGATATCAAAGCCTATGGGGTTAATGGATGACGGAAAAGTGCCAAAGATCTATTCAGGTAGTGGGGAATGTCTGCCGTTTGATGGGTGGCTAATATTAACAGTCAACAGTCAACTTAAGGCAACAAAGATCCAGAGTTTCTATAAATGTGACATTTCTAGTCAGCTCAGCACCCTTAGACACACCTCTCATTGGCTTTGATGTAATGGAGGTGCTGTTTCAATAGAGTCCAGAGAACTTTGCTTCAAACTTAGCTAAGCTACTTGGGGGAGCACTGTTTATATGTTTGATGAAGGACAAGGAATTGTACATTTCATTCAGACATGCCAAGAGAACACAGTTCTGGGACGCTTAGGAGTGGGTTACAAAGGCACTATAGTCCCTGCAAGTAATACCACCTAGGTAAAGTGTAAAGTCCCACCTACACCCAAGTGAGCCTTTAGTTTTGTTTGAGCCTGAAGAGAGTTGTGCCCAGTTATAGCAGCGAGGACTAGGGGAAGGGCTTCTGGAAATCCAGTCCGGTAAAGTGCCTTATGTAGCCATGTGGCTTGAAACCAAACACAA